TGAGCTGTTCACCTTGCATCCAAGCATAGCTTCTGTGTTATGGAGAGAAGGAATTGCTCAGGAAAGACCAGAATTATTTAAGGGTCCCACTGACATATGGAAGAACACAGTGAGGTTTAGTCCTGGGGAAGAGTCATTAGATGCTCACTTCCTGTGTTTGTAGATTTGAGAAGTTCTGCCTTTAAAAGCATTTAGGCCCAGTTAGAAAAATACAGTGTGATGTTACAAGACTTTTCTGTCCTTTTTGCTGCAGCATATTATATTAAATTTTATTTGATGATTTGGAAGAGGAAGGGAATATTGTTTTGGTTTTCTTATAAATAATGATTTAGTGAAATTTTCATAGGATCTTGTGGGTGTAGGTTGGAAGGGAAACTTGAAAGATAATCTATTTCAACCCCTTCTCTGGGCAGGGACATCTTTCACTAGATCAGGTTTTTTATGTTTTCCAGGTATTGCAGAATTATGAATTGTTTCCTGAAGTAACTGATACCTTTTTTATTCAATCATCCACTGTTTGGCCTTATGTTTTATTTTTTTTCACATCATCATGAAAATGAGTAGTAAATTAAAATAGCCAAAGCTGCTTTTGACAGCCAGTGGAGTTTACATGCACATATCAATGTTAGACAGGTTCAGACAGCTACTTTAACATCAGAAATTCTTATTAACACAGAATGGTTTCATTTAGTGAAGGCTTCTGTGGGATTGCCTGGAATTAATATTAAGCTCATTGTTGAGAAGCTACTAGTATTTTTCCCTATTGCTGACCCTTCTGTCAGAGAAGAATATAAACATTTAGTTCCTGTATTTCATGAACTTTTCTTGCCTGTTTTTTTCTTTTGTTCATTTGGGTTGGTAAACAGTACAAACTGCTTGCTGGGAAAGCCAAGCTCCATGTTGACCACAGAGGGTGACTGCTGTCAGAGTGGCCATGGAGTCTGCTCCTCATGTAGTAGGAGAGTGTTACAAAACTTATCAAATTTGGTCTTTTCTCTTGGAAAACATTTCAGCATGTTTACCATCAGCAAAATGCTTTTGATAGGGGCAGATCTGTCTTTGCCAGTGATGTGTTTACTTGGAAGTTGCTATTTTTGGCCATTTAGCTCTGAGTCTTTTGTAAAAGCAGAAAGCGGAAGTGAACAGTGAAATCCCTTTAATAGCATATTTCCTGGTTGAAGTGACTTATCTGTGAGGCCTAGACAGAGGAGACGTCATTTCCTGGATTACTTCTCTTCAGTCCCAATTGTCTGTTTTACTGCATGATCTTTCTACCCAGCTTCTTCATTGTAGTGAATTTTTCTCTTAAGTGATATAAACTAGGTCTTTCACTGAAAATGTAAAGCTTTAAGGAAACAACTTTTGACAAAATACTAGTGTGTAGGACAAGTTTTTCATAAATTACATATTGATATGAACTTGAAATCTCTTACATTAAAATTTTGTTTAAAAGCTTAAAATCTTGTCTTTGAAAGAGTATGATAAATAAGATTTGTTCACAGGGCTAAAAAAAATTTGACACACTTTCTGTTCCTTGTGATGATGATACTGATCGTGTCTCTGACACCAGCTGTATCTGGCTGTGTTCTAGAGTTACGACACTAGCAAAGAGCTAAAATAGTCAGTTGTGCAGTTCTCAAATTTCTTTTCATTAGTAACTACTTGTGAAAATTGTTACCTGGAGTCCATGAAAAAGAGAAAAAAAGAGCTACTTAAAAATTAGCTGCAAATATGATTCTCCATTTGTATAGCCCACAAAACAGCCATGGAATCAGAATCAGGAGGAGAAAGGTGACATCTGAAATTATAATATACAGTTGAATTTAAATTGGAATTTATGATTGTTTTGGATCTTGTAATCCAACTTCACTAAAATTTTTGTTTGGGTGATAACTATTTTTTCCCTTGGTGTTTTGCCAAGATAGAAGTAAAGCACACTATATATTTCTTGGTCAACCACTAAAATATCTTCACATGAAAAGCATTAAGACATCAGGTGACCTCACCTCTCTTCCCCTCCAAAACAGGAAGAACAAAAATATGTCTTGCTGATTTTTGTTAGCACAGACTGCTTTTACTTCTCCCTTAAAATGTCTACCCAGTTGTTGGTGATCATGAGAGTATTTTCTCAGTAGCAGTGAAAGAAGAATGTTGGAGTTCAGTGTAGACTGCCATCTAATTGAAATTAATACTTCATTGAGCTAGTAAAATCCAGAAAGGTGGCCCAGCTGTTCCCATCAGGGCATTCAGTATGGTCCTTCTCTACATGTCTCAGGGTGAGGATCCATGTTTCTGCAGACACACTGTGCAACAGAATGAGATAACCTTTTTGAAGGTGGTGTTTGCCAAATCTAGAGTAGTATGGATTCTATAATGCTATTTTGCAGGAGCTCATCTCAAATTAGTAGTTTCTATTGGATTTGTCCAGATTACCTGTGGAATTCTGTAGTGACTAATCCATAAGTATATAACAGTTTTGTTACTTTGGTTTGGTTTGATTGTATCATCTGTAAAATTGTAGCATAAATTAGGAAGAGGTAGTAAGTCTTCTGATCCTATGAAAGATGAGTATGATGTCCTGGTGCATTGCTCCTTTCTCCTTAGTTTCTCTCTCCACATTAGGAGAAAGACTAAAATAATCCCTGTATTTACTGTTAGTAAAGCAACTACTGTGCCTTCTTGACTGACTTTCTGTCAGCTTATTTACACTGTCTTACGCTTCCTTCTGGTAGGAAGTTCTAAAACTTGATGTGTAAGACCATCATAACAGTTAAGGTTACGTAGAGTCAGGAGTAAAATTCCACCTTTTTTTCTTTGCAGTTGTGGAAATCTTATAGGTGTTACAGAATGTTTGAGGTTGGCAAGGACCTCTTGATATTGTCTAGTCCAACACCCTGGGCACTGCAGGGTCAACCAAAGTAGGTTGTCCAGGACCAGGTCCCATCAGATTTTGAGTATCTCCTCACTCATTTGAAGACTGACACACGCTATTTGGTGGAGATTCCACAGGCTCTGTGGGTATTTTGTTCCAGTACTTGACCACTTTCACAGGATAAAAGTGTGGCGTTCAAATAGAATTTTGTGTGTTTTACCTTATATCCATTGTCTTCTGTTCTGTCAGTGATCGGTGCCTTTTCTTCAGTTCTTCCCAGCAGGTACTTACAGACATTGATGAGCTCCCCTGCCTGCCCTGAGTCTTTTTTTCTCAGGCTGCAAAGTCACAGGTCTTTGAGCCTTTTCTCCTTGGAGAAATGCATTAGTACCTTAATCTTACTGGCCCTTTGCAGGACTCACTCCAGTAGATCCCTGCCCTTGATGGTTTGGGAGACCAGGAGTGAACACTGCACTCCAGGTGGGACCTCATCAGTGCTGAGTAGAGAGGAACCTGTTGTTCACCAGGTCCCTCAGGTGCTTCTTTGCAAAGCTGCTCTCCTGCTTCTCAGGCTACAGCCTATACCTGGCACCTGGGGATTTTCCTCTCCAGCAGCAGGACTTGGTTTTTCCTCTCATTGACCTTTGTGGAAACCTTCTCTGCCCAGAGGAATGCCAGTGTTGGGGTGCAGTGCTGGTGACTGGCTCCAACTGGACTTTGTGCCACTGATCAGTCTTCTGGGTCGAGTCTTTCAACCAGCTTTTAATCCTTTGTTTAACCCGTACTCCATCAGCGTGTCTGTGACACTTTCCAAGACACTTTCATTTGTTAGGAAGTAATAAATAAATAAAATACCTTCATTTTTAAAATGGTCTTAACCGTTACTGTGGTTCGTGGTGTAAACTGATACTGCCACAGATGAGTTGGTCTTGTATTTGTATACGCTTATTTAGGACAAAGTGGCATTCAAAATGTATTTAATAATCTTAGGCTTTGCCTCTGAGTCTCTCCAGACATATTATTAAAATGAATATAATAATTTTAGTAATATTTGCAATAAATTATACCTTCCTAGACATATTAATAAAAAATAAAAAATCAGCAGGTTGTTAGCCTTAGTTATTAAGAAGACTGAAAAGCTATCTAATTCTGTTTGCTCCTATTAATAATACATGATGTGGTCTCTGACTTAAGTCTCTGTGATGCCTTGTCAAGTCCCAAAAACCTGAAAAAGCAGTCTCAGGATTTTGTTCTTAGGGCAATGAAAAAAAAAGCTTCCAGTGCAGGCTGAACACTGCAGCTGCTGACAGTGAATGGTGTCTCTGACTCCTCTTAGTATCTGAAACTAATTTTTAGTTTTATTTGTCCCTGTGTAACTGGAAAGGTCTCAGTGTTTGAAGAGTAATTTTCTGAAGTTTTTCCAGGTTGCAGAAAGGTGGAATTGAGTAAAGTCTTGTAACAGGCATTTAAAATACTATTTTTGGTTTAGATTTGGTGATCTCATCCCTTGCCATTTTAAGAGTCTCTATTGTTTTCTGCTGAGGCACTGATAATGGGTAGCAGAACAGCATGTAGAGTTCTGGCTCCTCTTCTGTTGAGTCACTTAGAAAAGGTATTCTTGTCTTGTGAGCCTGAATTACATGGTGAATTGTCTTAAGTTTAGGTCATGTCTTGCTTCCAAGAAAAATGTGTGATTGGTGTTTGAAGGTCCAGAATGAGAAGGCAGAGAGACTTTGATCAAAGCAATAATATGAATATACAAACAAAGGCTTTGCAGGAAAAGTGTAACAGAAGTAAGAAAAATGGAGTATCTTAAATCAGTGTTTAATGAGTAAGATTACTTAGTGATTAAGATTAAAACTACTACTCCAGTTTAAGTCCCAGTGCCACTAATCAGTGGTAATATAGCTGTACTGTTTATAGAATTTGGAGCCAGTCAGTGTGCATTGGCTCCTCTGCTGGTTTATAAACATACTTGAGAGCTTGTTTGATTTGCTTGCTAGGAATGTAATGCATGCTTGAATAATATATAATCAATCTCAGTGCAGTAATTTTCAGAAATACGTTTATTAAGATTTTAGAACTCAATTAACTTTTTTTTTTTTTTTTTTTTTTTTTTTCTTTTCAGGATGGCTTGAATTCTTTGGTCCTTGATCTGGATTATCCAGCACTGAGGAAGAACAAGAACATCGATAATTTTTTAAACAGATGTAAGTTGCAAGTGGCCCTTAAACAATGACATTGTTGTGATCTCAGTCATAAGAAGTTGAGTGGTCAGAAATGCATTGCCCATGGTTATTCTACTAATTTTTGTAACTCTGAACTTCAGGTGGCTTTAGAGGATCATTTATTACAGAGAGAAATTTAATTTTAGGGAGTCGTTATATTGTGAAAATATGTTGGAGAAATATTTTTATTTTCCTAAATACACTTGGAAAAATCCTTTTATGTTATTTTCTTATCTTACGTATGTGTAGCTACATAACTTGCTAAGTATATCCTACTTATTATTCTTCAGGAATTCGTTTCACTGAATATCAACATTGTTTATATAGTCATATTTAATCTAACAGAGAAAACTCTTCTGTGAGTTTTTAAATCTAAATAGTTGTACCTTAAAATCTGTTGGTTAATTTTTGAACCTTTGCATAAATGTTTGTGATTCTCCCCAAATTAATTGTAGACAGGATCTTGGAGTTTATTAAGCATATGAGTCTACATCAGAGTAGCTGTGTTTTGTGGTTTTGAAGTGTTTTCTATTCATGTATATAAGCAGAATTTTTTTTCTTCTAAAAATAGCAAATCCTTTGTTTTAAAATGTAATTTGCAGTGAGTAAGCCTTCTTGGAATAACTATACTTTGTAGTGAGCTTATTTCAAGATATATATTTTTTTAATAAAACCTTTTCTCTTGCATATGTTGAGGTTAGATTACTCCAGATACAGTCTTATCAGCAGCTCCTTTTAGATTCTTTACTGGTAAGAGATGTATGTGTCTGCCCTCTGTTGCCCTGGGATTCCTTGCAATATCCACTGACACTCTTCACTTAAATAGTGGCTGGTGTAGTAATTTGTGGTGAGTTCTTTGTTTGGAATTCAGTGCTTCTCCATGAGGTTTAGCAGAGCCCGTAGATGGACAAGCAACTTTTACAGTTGCCAGTAAAGTCTCATTTGGAGAAATCATTTAAAATACAGTAAATAAGAAAGAGCAGATTAGGATATAGAGGCATACCTTGGGATTATATTCAGTTTGAGTTCAAAAGAATTCAAGCAGATACTTACAAAAGAAAGGGTCCGTAATAGCATCTGAAATACTTCTCTTATTTGCAACTGAGCATTTCATGTGTAAAGTGAGGGGACAACCCTCTGAAAATTACAAAAATAACATTTATCAGCATCTTCTATAAGCTGGTCATATTTGCTTTGACATTACTATTTTTGCACTAGAACAAAATTAGAAGCTCCTCTGTGATCAGAAGACCAGTGTCTTTTGACTATTAGAAATAGTAACTGTGGGAAAACAATTTAACCTCAGGAACAGGTTGGAGATTTGTTTGTTATTTGATTGGTTGGTTTTTGTTTGTTTGCTTGTTTGTTTTCTGCAGCCCCTGGATATTCTGACTGCCTCCCTTTTTCCAAAGGTTGTTGTTCCTTCTCCTCCTCTAGGTTCTCTCTCATTGTTCTAGTAAATATTTTTAAGTATTTTAGGTGACCTGGAGGCTGCCAGCAATGTCAGAAACATGAAAATATACTTTTGTTCACAATTTTGTTACTTCCTTTTTATTTTTAAATCAGCTGACAGTATACAGTTGATATAGCCAGATACTAGTTAAAAGAATTTTGAGATGAGTTACAAAAAAATTCACAGTAGTTAATAAAGAGTTTTCAAGGGTGCACTTCATCCTTACCTGTTGAACTTTAAAAAAGCATGCAACATCTGAATATTTTGACCAGCATGCTGTGTGACAGTTCATCTTTCATATGAATCATGCATGTAACTTCTCTCCTGTTTCTGTACTAACTGGGAGAGAATAAAAATATTGCTGCATATCTTCTGTGACTTAAACTTTGGGGAAAAAATAAATTGCAAAATGAGAATTTTGTAAATATTTGAGGCTGGTAATATTATAATATTTCAGAAGAAAGAATCAATCCTGCCACAGTGATTCATTTCAAAGTCTTTTCCAGATGGTTGTATGGTTTGTTATGTGCCACACAGGGGAACTGAGCAGAATTAATGCAGAGAGTTGCGTGGTTCGTTTTTTCTTTTTATTAAAACTAGTCAGGCAAAAGAAAAGCAAAGACTAGTTTCTGATTTTCATTTCACTTCACTGATACTTGTGATAGCACTTGGGTCCAGGAAAAAACAGGACAACTGGTTTCTTATTGACATTGCCATTTTATGCAGTTTTAAATTGCTAAACCCATAACTCAGGTCTTCTTGGAAACTGTTCTGAGGGTAGCAAGTATCACTGGAAAGAGTGTGGCACGTGCTTGCTGAAGCCTCTTGCCACCTTGGATTTGGAAGAAAAGTTGGGAACTGTATTGAGAATTTATGGAACTGTAAATTGTTGCTTTCTTAGTAAATTTTCTTAGGGTAAGGAACAGTGAGTTCTTGTCTCTTGTGATTTTTCTCAGTATCTGAAGAACTGTTGCAAATGCCCAGCTGAGAACGGCTGTCAAAAGGTTGTGACAAACTGATGAGCAGTCTGTGCCTGGGGCCTGGAGCCTGCAACCCTCCCCAAGGCAAGCACAGAGAGGTGGCAGGGCTTCCTGTGAGTTACCCTGTGCTGCACAGCGAGGCAGCTAAAGCAGAGTCACTGCCTGTGTTTTCATCCATACTACAAAAGTCTGCAGAAATTGTGGAGAACACTAAATAATCATCATACTTCCAGTCAGTTTAATCACTTCTTCCACAATAACACTTGGGGAAAGGAATTTTTTTCCCCCCACCACATTCTCAGGGGTTTGCATACACCCTACTTCCAACCTACATCAAGTCATTACTATTCAGGTTAATGTTTTATTAATAGCTTATTTTAATTTAAAAATGAAATAGCTTGCACTTCAGCTGAGACATTAATTTGTTCAGTTCAACTCATAATTGCAAGATGAAACTCAAATGTTTCAGCTGTTTCACAATGGCAATTTATTAATTGTCCATACCATAGGAGTTTGGTGCATTCTGTTTCTGTGACCACTTTGCAGAAGCAGCCTGTTCACTTGTTTAATATGAAAGAAGTTCTTTAATTGCCTGCTTTGCCTTACTATTCTGATTTCTTAGCATTTTCTCTAAGGTATTGAACCAAAGTGGAGCCTGTTTGTTATAAGAAAAGAAGCACATTAAATATCTCACATAATACAAGCATTCTTTTTCAGTATTTTCATTCCTTTTCTGTTGCTTTAATCAGCTGTTGGGATTTTGATTTAAATTGCTGTGCTTTTTAGAGTATTCATGGAACAGAAAAGCGTAATGCATTATTTAATTCCCAAAACAGTGAGAAGCATCTCATAGTCCTGTGAGAGCAAAAACAAATTTGCTTATTTTAGAAAAGAAAGCTGAGTTTTTCAGCATAGGCTTGGTGTAACAAATCTTTCTTGGTCTGGTCCTCTTCTGTCATCCAGGCAAAGACAATAGGTTGAGTAAATTCTTCCAAGTCAATTTTTCTGCCGTCTAAGATTTGCCAAGTGTTGAATAATGTCTTAGAGGCTTGTGCCTTTTTTGGTGGTCTCCCATGCAGATACAACTTAGTCTTAAATATTTAAATAGCGAGTTTAAGCAATAGTTTAAAACATTTAAATCATTAATATCACATATCATATATCATTTGTCATGAATAGAAGGGCATGAAAAATGGATTTTGAGTAAGTCCAAACAGCAGAACAGAGAATGGTGTCATCAACAGGCCTGGTACAACCCAGAAGTCTTGACTCCCTAATCATAATGAATGAATCAGTGGTTTTCTATGCATTATTCAGCATCATTCAAGAGTTGGAAATTTGTGTTGTTAAAATTATTTGCTGATATTATCTAGGTTGGCAGACTTGTAAAGTGTAGTGACAGTGGATGTATTTAAGTGGAAGTGACTTCTAGTGGAGATGTGGCACCTGTGCACCAGTTTTTCTAGACTCCCTGAAAAGTTCCTTTGGCCATTTTCCTCTCCAAGCAGACACTGCTTACTTAGAGGATGTATCTGTTAAGATTAATTTCTTACAAAATCAACAGTTCTGGTTTCTTCCCTTGCATTTTGTTATGTAATTTGAAGTTGCTGAATCCTGCCCAGCCATGTGGTTACCAACAGAAACGCGTTATCCGGTGTGGTGTGAGTGCCTCCCAGGGCCGCAGCTCTGTGTGCTCTCAGCTTCGTGTCAGCAGCACTCATGAAATGTCAGTTGCCAAAAAGAATCTTAGAAATTTAGTGCACTGTAGAACTTCCACTGAGTTAAGGAGCTAATTGCTCCTCTGGTTTTCTCTTGGCTACTCTAAGGCAGCTCCCTTGCCAGGTCTTCGCAGTCGCCTCAGCACGCTGGACTCCAGTTCCGTTCTTAATGATATTGTTCTGGTAGGAGTAGTGATGGGAGAAGTATCAAATAACCAACTTTCCCAAACAGAGCGTGGAAGCCACAGTGTGTAACACAGAATGTCTTAGATGTATAAACAAATTATATGTCAGTGTCATTAACCACATTCCCATTTGGGTACTTGGTAGATACAAAGCAATTCAGCCCTGCCATCAGGCTTATTTTCATTACATTAGGGATGTGTTCTCTGTAAGCCAGAGGGCTGCTGCTTTCTGTTCCCATGTTCTGCTTTTTTCCATCTATGCAAGAGAGCATACTTCTCATGTTCTCCTTTTATTTCTTTGAGGGAGGAAGCATTACCATGTCTGGAGCTGTGCCTTCTAGTTCCTTCTGGTTCTGCAAGGTCTCCAGCAGCTTCTTCTTCACACACCTTTGACCAGACACTATGGATGCACCCCTAATTACTTCAATGTTTCTGTTGTGCTTCCTCTTTGGTTTTGTTCAGCTGTGGTATTGCAGCACTTCCTGGCTGTACTTCAGTTTAACTTCTGGTTGGACTTCTGCCTAGTACAGCAACTTTTGACTTAATGTACCCATAGCAGCACTCATTGACTAACTGTGTCTGATCTGTGGGGTAAAATTGCACTCCCTTGCAATTTTATTTGTCACATATACGGTCCCCAGAACTG